TTCATAACTGTAAAGCATCTTGTTATTTGTATAGTATTTTAGGAAAAACTTTTCCATGAATAATTTCTCTAAAAATTTCCATGCTCAAATTATTTAATTAGTGTATTACATGTAAATAAGTCGATTGTAATCTCCAGAAATGCTTCAGAATAGAGTGATGGCTGCATAGTTGTGACGATCTGAGTTGAGATGGATGCGCACAAAAGCTGGATGTGGTGTCGTTCATTCATAACCTCAGCACTGAGACATTGAGAGCAGAGACAGGCAGATTCCGGGCATCCTGAGCCAGCATTCTAGCTGCAGTGGCAAGTTCCAGGTTCAGTGTGTGACCCTGTCACAAAGAAATGACATCACTGGTAGAGATAAGAAGGTGAAAAGCAAACAGGAACGTACCCAAAGCTGACCTCCGCATGCGCACACATAGGCCCGTTCATCTGCACACACAATTATTTTTCTCTGTCCAAATTCCTTAAAATGTTTAAAATACTGGAACTTTTTATTTAATAATTATTTCATCCTGGTCTGCCCCATTGATCACATAATAGATCTTTAGATTGAATAGCTAAGTATCCAATAGTCTTAGGAAAATTGAAAATTATTTCTGTGATGTAGAATTTTTAATGCTTCTTCTTTGGGAAAGCATCCAGTGGTAGATGCTGCTGGTGCAGCAGGAGGGTATGGAGGAACCAGCGCCCAGGGTTAGGAGGCACAGCAGCTTCCTTAGAGGTTTGGCAGCAGTGTTAGTCCTTATATCACAGTGGCCAAGGTCAATGCCATGGCTATGGTTAAGGTCACCAGACTCAAGGAGGTAAAGCTGAAGACAGGGATCCCTGTCACCAGGCTGGGCCACCTGGTCAAGGACATGAAGATCAAGTCCCTGGAGGAGACCTATCGGTCCTCCCTGCCCATTGAGGAATCTGAGATCATTCACTTTTTCCTGGGTGTATCCCTAAAGGATGAAGTTCTAAAGATCCTGCCAGTGCAGGCGCAGACTCAGGTGGCCAGTGGACCAGGTTCAAGGCTTTTGTTGCCATTGGGGACTACAGTGGTCATGTCGGTCTTGGTGTTAATTGCTCCGAGGAGGTAGCCACTGCCATCTGAGGGGCCATCATCTTAGCCAAGCTATCCATTGTCCCTGTGCGGAGAGGCTACTGGGGGACAAGATTGGCAAGCCCCACACTGTCCTATGCAAGGTCACTGTGGCTCTGTGTTGGTGTCTCATCCCTGCCCCAAGAGGGGCTGGCATTGATGACTGCTACACATCAGCCAGGGGCTGCACTGCCTCCCTGGGCAACTTTGCCAAGGCCACCTTTGATGCCATCTCCAAAACCTTACAGCTACCTGACCCCCGACCTCTGGAAAGAGACTGTGTTCACCAAGTCTCCTTATCAAGAATTCACTGGCCATCTTGTGAAAGCTCACACCAGAGTCTCTGTTCAGAGGACCCAGCCTCCAGCTGTGGCTACCACATAAGGGATTTTTATGTAAGAAAATTAAGGTGAATTAAGTCTGATTTTTTTTTTTAAATAATGCTGATGCTATTTTTTTTTAACTTGAAATGAGTATAGACTATTTGACACGAGTCCTAAGACTTAGTCACTTACTGCTGACCTCAGTAAAATGCTAGTGATCCTTATGCTTCAGCAGATTGTGTCAGTCAGCCGCTCCTCTCATTGCTCTATGTGTCTACAGAAGTAGCTTACAAAAGGTTGGGGTCTTTTGGTTTTGACTGATTGTTATGAGTAGGTTTTTCCCCCACCATTCTGGTCCCACCGCTGCGCCAGCCCCAAATAATACACAGAGACTTTGTATTAGATATAATTCTGTTGGCCAGTTACTAGTTTCTTATCAGCTAGCTCTGTCTTAAATATTAACCCATTTCTATTAATCTAAGTGTTTCCACGTGGTCTCATCTTACTGGAGAGAGGCCGGCGATCTTGTCTCCGTCGTCCATCTTGAATCTCCTCCCTACTCCTTCTGGAATCCTCCTTGTCTCCTAGTCTGCCTATCTTGCTTTCCTATTGGCCAACAGGGCTTTATTCATTAACCAATATGAGAAACATTTACAGAATGACACCTCCCATCAACTGGTGGGGAAGGCGTGACAGCAATTCTGTGACTGCAGGGACACGTGGTGGAGAGCCTTACCTGGCAGCTGGACTAAGAAGTAGGCAGGGCCTGGATGAGGCAGGCTAGAACTCTAAATCCCATGCTTAGTAGACCACTTCTGCTGGCAGGACCTGTCCTAATGTTCCATGGCCTCCCAAATACCGTCACTAGCTGGGGACTCTTGAAAATATGTGAGTATGCAGAGGACGTTTTGCATTTAAACTAAAAATGTTAATTTATTATAATTATTTTAGTCTCTAAGCAGTGATTTTTTTTTTTTTTTGCGTTGTTTACATGTACTCCTTTAAAAACATTTTAAATAATTTTATGGGCTAGTTTTCCTCCTTTTTGCATAGTTTTTTTAATTGATCCTTTGGGAATTTCACATCATGCAACCCCGTTACAGTCGGTGCCCAGTCCTTTCATGTGGGCTCTCTCCCCCAAAAATAAAGTTTAAAAAGCAAAACACAAAATTAGCTCCTGTCATCTTTCCCAGCTTTCCATCACATGTTCGTGTGTTGTAGGGCCTTGGGAGCTGTGGTGAGACACACAGCAAGTACACCCTTTTGCTCAAACAGCTTTACTAGCAGCGTCTGGTTAAGGCCTCTGGCGTCTACTACACCATCAATACTGGAGCCTCACCAAGACTCCTCTGTTGCCCCGAGTCCTGCAGGTCCTGCAGCTGTGTTTCTGCAGGCCTGGGACCTCACAGGCTGCAGCTGCTCATGGATGGCGTAGGTGCTGCGTGGTAGCCGAGTCGGTCAGGCCAGGCCAGGCCAGGCCTCTGCTGGGACCACCACTCAGGCAAGGGCCAGGGCCAGTTCTACCCGGGCCAGCTCTCCCATGGGCCACAGACCTGGGCTGCAGGGCGGCCACGGATTCACACATGTCCTCCAGCTGCAGCTTGGGCTTGCATGTCGGCATGACCTCACCCAGATCAGTGTGGCCCTCAAACGTCGACATGGACATCACAGGCCACTCTGTCCGCCTGTTCTCGCCACTCTTGGAACTTCAGTTTGGCCTCTCTCCACGATGCACTGACCGCTCTGCTTTCTCTCCCATTTCTCCATCACACACCTGTTGATTGTAGCCTAGGCCTGCGCTGGGGCGGGGCGGGGTGGGGGGTGGGGAGCTGGCTGTGACTGGCTTCCCTATAGGTATTTGACACTTGTACATCGCTTAAAAAATTATCACTGCCGTCACCACAGTGCAGCTTTAGTTTCGAATGCTGTCAGATATTTTGCCGAGGTTGGTTCTGTAGCTGTCATTTTCTCGTATCTAAAAGGGAGCGTTCAGTCTACTATAGCAAGCCTGTCATCTTCAGCATTATTGCAGCTAATTTAAAATTTTAAATTACAGCCTGCGTCAGGCTTAGAAATAGACCCATTAAAAGGTGTTTTCTAATTACAAACATTACTTAAATTTGAGCTAAAAATTTTTATCTTAAAAATCATTTTAAGAATTTAAGATTTTTAAGAATCTTTAAGAATTGGTCTGTTATGGTGACATACCATTAAGTTTGCATCAGTAATTGATAACTTATTTGCTAAGAACGTTGGAAATACATATGAAAACCCTGAGAATTGTTTTAGGTTTATATGTTGCCAACAGACTGATTGTAGAACCATATGGATTATATAATAAGAAGTAGGGGGTTGCTATGATAGTGTCTTAACTGTGACTGAAGGGGACAGAGTAACAATTTCAGAAAAGAGTTGTTTTATGTTACAGCACAATGTATTTTGTCTTTCTTGTTAGATAAAAGTTTCCCTTCAGAATCAAGTCAAGCATTGATAATTTAAAAGATGTTATATGTAATTAACCCATTCTGTACAGTTTGGTATTGCTTTTAAGTGTCACTTGCAATATATTAAAAACAGTGAAATAAATTTGATTTCATATTTGCTTGTTAATTTATGTCTTAATGGTTATTTTAGTGTTTATTCTTTTTAAGCTGACAAAGTGCTATGTTAAAAGCGGTAAAGGGATCTCTAAAACCAGGAACCTGACATTTTCCTAGCTTTTATTTACATTCTCATCACTGTGATTCTGATAGGTGGATTAGACAGGTGGTCACTGCAGTTCAGACGGGGCGTGAGCCTGAAGTAAGGGACGAGGCAGACTGTACGGGGCGTGAGCCTGAAGTAAGGGACGAGGCAGACTGTTTCAGGGCCTTTTCCTTGTCTGGAGACACAGTGTTGTGAACACAGTAAGCCATTTTCCCTTTGTCATCACCGTACTGTTTCAAAGCCTTTGAGCATCTCCCGTCAGAAGGCGTGTGTTTGCTGTCCGTGTGTGAGTAACCGTTTTGTCACACTGGTCAAGATGGACGTCGTGTGACTGATGTGTAACCCAGCCTACACGTAATGACGCTTGAGTGCAGACGTCTATAGTTAATATTCTCTGGTCAGTGAAATTTGAATCACGGTGTTGGGAGATGTGTTGTTTGATGAACTGTTGCTTCCTGAATTTGTGCACGTGGGAATCACTCGAGTGAGGACAAAGTATAGTTCAAAGAAGTAGAACTTTGTGATAATTAAAGATTTGGTAGGTTAGATGAGATTTCGGGTGGTGAGCTGTTGGCCATAGCTGGCATACGTAGAAAAACAAATTTGATGCTGCTTGCTCAGTGTCTTCAGACTTCCTTAGCAAGGACCTCTTACACCGATTCCACAGTACAAATCTCTGCACATGGTCAGTATAACAGTGGTATGGCACTGGAAATTTGAAAGGATGCTGTGTGTTTGTGTTCTGATGATTACAAAGATGCCTTTGGCTTCTTTGGGTCAGGTGGCTCTGATTTTGTTGCCCTAGTTCAGTGTGTACCTTCACTCTTAAATGTGTCACTGTGTTGCTTGCAGCTAAATAACACAATTTTCTCTTTGTGTTTCTCACAGGTGAGCTGGTACAGCCGTTGATCTCAAGATGCCATTGGTGAAAAGAAACATTGACCCTAGGCACCTGTGCCATACAGCACTGCCCAGGGGCATCAAGAATGAACTGGAATGCGTAACCAACATTTCCCTGGCAAATATAATTAGACAGCTGAGTAGCCTGAGTAAGCATTTATCAGCGTTTAAATGTTGCAAACCAGAATTTCCTTTGAGTGTTAAGAAAACGTTCTTGTGATTTAGGAGGGATGTTTCATTTTAACATTACTGTAACATCTCATTTAGTGGGAGAACCTCAGGTATGGTAAGTATAGAAACCATTCTGGATAGAATGAAGGCTTTTAATTAACGTTCCAGTGGGCTGTGGATCGCAGGAAGTAGTTTTAACGGGTAATCATGGTGGGTTACGATGTAAGGCGGGCAGCCTCCCCAGTGAAACATGGATTGAATGGGCCTTTAAAGAATGAAATACTTAGAAAAGGAGAGGACTAGAGGCAGGAGTCACTGTCCCTGGGGGAGTCTAAGTGACTTGACATGGGCGACTGGTGGAGGCTGACTGGGGACAGTGTTGGATGAGAGAGGCTCGATGCTTCGTTTCCTAGTGAACGATGGCATTGTGGGGAATAAGTGGTCTGATGGAAGCATGGTTGAACTCCATGTATGTACACATCACGTTCACTCTGAAACTTCCTCTCTGAGGAGGGAAAAGGAGGTAGATGGGAGATGTGAGGAGTATAAACAGAACGGGGGGGGGGCACTACCAACTGAAGTGTCAACGGCATTTAAACAAGTGCGGGAGAGCGTCGTGGGCCCTTTGAAGCTGTTGAAAAGCTGCGGACACTCTGTCCTAGTTGGGTTTTCTGTAGCTGTGATGAAACACCATGGTCATAAGCAATTTTGGAGAAGAAAAGGTTCATTGCAACTTGCAACTCTGGATATCACACGCCATCCATCACTCGGCAAGAACCAGGAGGCAGGAATTGATATCAGCACAGGGCGCAGGAGACTGGCTCCCCAATCCTTGCTGAGCCTGCTTTCCTAGAGCCCAAGGGTGGCACCAGCCACAGTGTGAGCCTCCCATATTAATCACCAGTCAAAAAGGCGCTCCACAGGCCAGTCTGGTGGGGGCAGTTTTGTAATTGAGGCTCCCTCTTTACAAATGACTAGCTTGTATCAAGCTAACATAACACTAGCCAGCGCAGCATCTAAAAGCCTGCTTATAATTTCAAGCATGTGTAAACTTTTGTAACAAGATCCTTGTTTTGAACTACTCTCTTAGAGATGGCGTAGACTTTCCATCTCTGTCCCTAATGTTTGTATTTGTATCCCATTTGTAATTTTCTCTTACCTGCCAGGAAACTGTTCGGGAAAGCCTTGAACACTGTCCCACGCCACAGTTAGATGCTTTCCTCTGCTCAAGGCTGTTAGAATAAGATGTCCTGTCACTGTGTCTTATTTTCTTGCCTGTGTCTTCTTTTCTTGAAACTTTTTATTGTTGTTGTTTAATTTTTATATTTACTTATATTTATATATACATATAGTTATATGTAATATATTTCATTTATTATATGTTATTCTTATTTGACAGTTGAGGAAACTGATTATCAGTGACTCACTGTGAATGAAAGATTTGAGCCTACTCTGCGTTTTAAATTGATTTTCATATTTGTTTAATTATCATCCTCTATTTAAGATTTGTGAACTTCAGAGGATTTCTTGTTATCTTTGACTTCTAGTTTTTTGTAGTAAAGATATATATGACTAGAGAAGTTGAAGAATTTTAGCCTTTTGATGATTTTTAAAAGAAATTAAAATAGAAGGAAAAAAAATCTCCTGAGACAGTAATTAGTCTTGTATTCTTCTCTCCGGCTTAAAATCCAGTGCTAGCAGAGTCTGTGTATAGATGCTGATTATGGAGTGAAAAGATATGTTGTTTGTATGTGTTTTTACATAACAGTCTTCCCTGACCTCATCTGGAAGTTAAAGCAGAATGTAGGAAGGCAGGGTTTAGAGTCATTCCGTCGTGCCGGTCACCCCGCATTTCTGAGTAACATTGGGTTAGCTTTAAAGGCAGTCCCCGATAAAAAATGCCTTGTGTAACAGGACAGCACTTGTAGCTGCTAAACTGCTTGATGTGAATGCGTGGTCACAGTTGTGTTACATTTATGGTGTTCTCATTTTTGCTTAGGTAAGTATGCCGAAGACATATTTGGAGAATTATTCAATGAAGCGCATAGCTTTTCCTTCAGAGTTAACTCATTGCAAGAGCGTGTGGACCGCTTGTCTGTTAGTGTCACACAGCTTGACCCTAAAGAAGAGGAATGTAAGTTCACTCTCTGTGTTTTCCTTTACATGGTGTTAACACAGGAAAAGCTGTTAGCAACAGTATGAAGTGTGACGATGCTAGTCTGCTCCTGAGTCCATTGGGAAGAAGTCAGTGTGTTACCTGTAACATGCCTTCCATTTTCCACTTTCTTTTCGGGGTTTACTGTTGATGTCTTAGTTTTTTATCATGAAGATTCTCTGATCAGACTTTCTTCGGTTCTCTCTCACCTCCTTTTTGTGTGTATTTTGTCTGAGAAGCTGATCTGAAATTTTAAGGGTTAGATATAACTTCTTTTACTGTCTCTTTTGGTATATATTCCTAAACTGTGACTTGATATTTAATTCCACTGTCTTCTTTAAATGAACATTCCCCAAACTGTTCTATGTCAAGAATAAAACAGAAACAAGGTTTTATTAAAAAAAAAAAAAACACATTGCTATTTGTTTATTTGTTAATGGTAGAAATTTTAGTGGTAATAACACACTTCATGCTTCTGTAGATACCTTTCATGCTAATTTTTTAAATGCCTCGAAGCTCTGAAACACTGATAATTCACAAGTTCCTTTGCTTTTGTTGTTGTTGTTTGTTTTTGTTTTTGAGACAGCGTTTCTCTGTGTGGACCTGATTGTCTGGCACTCATTCTGTAGACCACGCTGGCCTTAAACTCGTAGAGATGCACTTGCCTCTCTGCCTCTTGAGTGCTGGGACTAAAGGTGTGCACCACCACTGGCTGGATTGCTTTGCTTTTTGTTTTTTTAATCCATGAAACTGAGAATATAATTTTCACTTAATATACTGTAAGTCATGTGAATTTTTCATAATATACTCAACAAATTTTTTGCTGAATAACATTTTTAGTATAAATTGAAGTTATGGGTATAAATTTAAACAATGAAAATATTAAATAATATTTTTAAAGCAAAGAGTAGAATGTTAGGATGAATAATACCTCGATTGAGCAACTCCCTTTCGCATAATTTAATGAGTATTTATTACTCTTAATGTACATCATTTATTAAAATTGTGATACAGTTCAGCGAGGTCTTTTTAACGTACGTATCGTTTCTCAGCACTCACAGAGGCCCACTCTATAGTCCTTCCGCCCCGCCTGTCTTGCCGCTGATAGACTGTCCGTGCGTTTTCCTGCTCTGGATATGTCATGAGAGAATGACATAGCGTGGTCTCTTGTGACCAGTGTCTTCCACTCTGTTCTTAAGATCTGTTTCTGTTTCCCTGATGACTGGTGATATTGAGCTGGAACTCTATGTGCATTCTCTTGGAGAAATATCCATTCAGTTCTTTGCGCCTGTGTTTTTTTCCTTCTATACTTGATTTTAAAATTGGATTACCTTTTTTTGTGGAGTTAGGAGTGTTCCTATATTCTGGGCATAGCATAAGTTCTAATCGGTCTTAATAATAAAAAACTCAGAGTCAGATATTAGGGTGTGAAAGCTGAAAGATCAGAGACATGGAGGAGCAAGCCACGTTTACCTCCTCAGCTTCCTGTCTCCTCCCTCTGCTCAACCACACCACTTCCTGTCTGTCTGTACAGACCTCCAGACCTCTATGGTTAACTAGTGGCTATCTCTGCCCTCTGATCTTCAGGCGAGCTTTATTTGTTAGAGTATAACGAGATATCACCACAGCTAGATCCAAATCGTCTGTGTTTTGCATGTAGGTTGACTTTCTTAGAGCTTCCCTTTGAAGCATATTTGTGTACATTAATCACATTTCATGAAATTCTTAAAATATATCTAATTGTTATTGTTGAGAAATACATTATAGCCATACATACTTTCAAATATAATTTGCATCAACATTTTCTTTTTAAATATTTAATTACAAATGTGTGCCATGTAATAATTCCTATATAAATTCTACTTTCATATATAACAAAAATTAACATTTAATTTAAAAATGCTATTACTTTTTAAATACAGAATTTATTTTCTTCTTTGACAGTTTGATGCATGTATATATAGCATTCTGGTTACTCTCATACTGTTAAATGCTAATCAATGTCTTAACACCATCATTAAGTAAAAGTACTTGTACCAGCAAATGAGCAAAGGTGTGGCGTGTCAGAACTATACATAGCTTCCTTTATTTTTTCTATTGTTCTTTTAAAATATGTGAACAATGTAGAATTCTGAATCTAAGAGCTGACACTTAACTGTTTTCAGTGTGAATAATTGGAATTGTTGTATGGAGATTTGTGATTCAATCTGGGCTTTGAAATTCAGTGGGAACTCAAAGAAAATAACATTATGAACATATAATTAAGCTACAGAGTATGATAAAAGTATTTTCAATTATCTTTAAGTGGTAGCTACCATGAAATTGCCAAGTAATTAAGAAAATGTGTAAAAATGTTAAAGAAATGTATACAATTATATTTCAATTTTGTTTATAAGCGTATTGAGCTAATATACTTACTGTGTGTATAATACTATTAAGGTAATATAAGATAATGTCAAGTGGAAGAGTGTTTATCAGTAAGATGTGGCAGAGAAGAGTTGGAGCTGGAGAAGGACATAGTATTTTCATTCTTTTTATATTCTTTACCAAAATGGCTTTGGGCATTTGTCCTCAGGCTCTGAATCAGCCTCAAAACCAGCTCTCGGTCTGTTATTGTGGCCTGCTTAGCCTCGTTTGTTGAGCCTGTTGTGTATTTTCTAGCTTTGGCTGTTTGTATTTAAAAATGGACAAGCAATTCTGGTTCCCTGAATTGAAAAGGTTGACTGAAAAGAAAAATTAGTGACAGGATCCATCACCACAGTACTTAACTCGTGTAACGCCTGCTAACCCTTCGCCTTTTCCCTCTAAATTATGCTCTGGTGTTTATAAATGTGCCATGCGTCATTCAGCTGAGTTATTTTGGAGGAAAATAAAATGAATTGGTGATTGTTTTGCTTTAGTGTCTTTGCAAGATATAACAATGAGAAAAGCTTTCCGAAGTTCTACAATTCAAGACCAGCAGCTTTTCGACCGCAAGACTCTGCCTATCCCATTGCAGGAGACATATGACGTCTGTGAGCAACCTCCACCTCTCAATATCCTCACTCCTTACAGGTCAGCAAAATAATGAATTGTCTCTCTCATACTTCAGATTTAAATGCATGATTCACACACAGGTCTAATCTCACTTGCTTCTAGCCAACAGAACCACCTTCCTACCTATTACTTTCAGAAAACATTTATTTATTTATTTATTTCTTAGATGAACATCACAAGCTCTGATATACAAAAGACAGGACCTGTTCAAGTAATTATTATGATAATCCGCTAGCAAAGCGATTACCGTGGAATTGTGTCAAGGAAGTTGTTATTATGTTTCTAATTTAATTTTAAGATTTAATCAGGAAAATGAAGCTTAAAAAGTCCACAATACTAACAGACATCATTGTTGCATTCTTTATATATCTTCGCTTTCTGAATAACAAATACATAGTTTTTTAATACTTTCCACTGCTTCCTTCTGTGGAGTCTGAAATTGGTGTTTCTTGGGAATTCTTTCACAGGATTTGTTAACTAGGCAGTTTGAGAGCTACAACACATACCCTGAAAAAGATGATCCCTGAATTGTCATTGGAAGCTAGAGCTCTGTGGGCATGTTGGCACATGTACATAAGTGTTAATGTTGGACTGAGCATTACGAAACACCTGTTGGGTTTAGTAAGATGCTAACTTTGTTAGGACATGGTAGAAACAGTAACAGTTCCCTGTTTTAAGAGCTTCTGCTTTCCAGACTTGGGTTTTCAGCAGAAGTATTTGTAATTATTGACTTTTCTCAAAGGACTTAGGAAATTTCATAGTCAGCAGAAGTGGGCCTTGATGTTGAACAGCGGTACCGTAAACTATTAGTATCAACTCTCTAAAGCTCTGCCTCTTCATGTTCCGTAGTTTCATTTCTGACTTATATAACAAAAAATGTATTCCTACAGTGCTTTATTTTAGCTTTATTTTATTTATTCATTTTGAGACATGATCGCCTTATTAAATCCACAGTGACCTTGAACTCGTGGCCTTCTGCCTCTTGCCTTGAGTGCCAAGGCCCTGACATGCACCTTGCGTGGGAGACAGTACTGTCACACATGCTATGCTGTATGTAGGGGAAGCACACTTGAGTGGTAGGTTGGTCTGATTGTTCCTATGTGTCACCTAATACATGGCATTGGGTGTTCTGTATTTCAGGGACGATGGGAAGGAAGGGCTGAAATTTTATACCAATCCTTCGTATTTCTTTGATCTGTGGAAAGAAAAGATGTTGCAAGATACGGAGGATAAGAGGAAGGAAAAGAGAAAGCAGAAGGTATTACAGAGGTTCAAAAGCTTGGAGTTACATTTATGTATTCATGTGTTGTTGCACACTGGAAACTTGGTTAACCTACACTTTGACAGGCTTGTTTCATTGGGCCCCATGCATTCAGGTCCTTAACTACAGAGATCACAAAGGGATATTGTGTAGGTGTGGAGTAAAGGCGGTAAATTAATCCAATGGTGTTTGCAATACCATGTATCCTAGCTGTTTTCAACAGGCTGCTGTATTCTCACTAAATTCCTGTTCCAGTCTGTTGTACTGTCATTTTCTACTTTCTGATAAAATGCTCCTGAATTTGCTTTATTTCATATGAACGATTTTTAAATATATGGGAGGAAGGAACAAATTGTGCTTTGGCACAGTAGAGGGACAGGCTGTCTCATCGTGCCTGTGTGTGTCCTCCCTCAGTCCCTGTAATGCCTTCTTGTTACATTCTTATGTGCTGGACAGTGCCCTAGTGTTCTAGCTGGAGTTTGCAGACTGGAGCCTGAAGCAAATGTTCCTGAACACAGGTTTTGTTCGCTGAGCACAATGATTTTGAAACTTTGAAGTGGAATTCCTTAGAGGCCATGTCTATGTAATTCAGGGCATGCCCCTTCTGCCTGACAGGCTCCATTCGTATATGTCGCCTGCTTTGTCCCTTTGTCCCTTTGGTATTTGTTGCTCCTTCTCCGGGCCTTCCTATGCTATCTCCCCTGGCAGTAATGTTTAGCCATTTCCCATATGGAAAATGGAGTGTCCTAGTTATTTGACTAGGGTTTAGATGGTTCTGACCATGGTAAAACTGTGAGACTTAGGTGTGGCAGTAAGGGTTAGTGACTTGTCTGCATCCAAAGAATTTTCTGCCCTAAGTCTAGGCACACTGTTTTGTGTCTAACCCCGCAGTTTGGAAATGAGTTATAAAACCATGGTGAGAACTGGGTTACAGCGAACTCTGGTCAGCTTTAACTCGGAATGTGCATATACAATGGTTCTGTGTTTGCTAGATCATGATGACATTGCCTTGTAAACACTGATTTATTTTGACTATTATAGCCTCTGTTTAAGTATTTAACATTTCACCACTTGGCTTTGTGTCATTACTTCTGCTATAGCAGAAAAACCTAGACCGTCCCCATGAACCAGAAAAAGTGCCAAGAGCCCCTCACGACAGGCGGAGAGAATGGCAGAAGCTGGCCCAGGGTCCAGAGCTGGCTGAAGACGATGTCGACCTCTTACATAAGCATATTGAAGTTGCTAATGGCCCAGCCTCTCATTTTGAAACAAGGTTTCTTTTATTTTGTTTTTGAATGAATGCTAAACACTGGATTTTCTTATAATATCTCTATGTACTTGTAAGTCTTGGCTCCCAAGCTGTGGAATTGTAAGGCCCTAACCACCTAACCTGCTAAAAATCCAACCTCCTTTAGCAGGTCATTTCCATATTTGATCTTTGTGTTGCCGCTTGTAGAAAGAAATGTTTGAAGAAATGATTTGTTTTAGATTTTCTCTGAAGACCTATCTCCCCACAATATTTCAGGCAGACTATGTTGAACGACATAGTAGAGTGTGTCTAGAATATTTTTGAAGTATTGGTTTGTCGCATATGAAACTAGAGATGAGAGGTTCCGTTGCGTTCTTCCCAAGTCCCCACGTTGAGATGTATCAGACGGAATTACCCACCTTCTCTTACAGACATGTGCACTAGGTCCTGTTTCTCAGTGGCCAGGGGTTCTTTCTAAGTAACACGCTACCACGACAGACACATGCTTTCAAGTTTCTGTGGGAAAATTATGTATGTATTTTCATACCTGCTTACTGGAAATGAGCTTCACATCTTCTTTTGAATAACACATAGGAAGTATTGGAGGCGTAACTGAAATATAGGGCCTATTTTAAGACAGATGTACGTCTGAGAGGTACTACTTAGCTATATTATTGAAAGAATGAAAATTAAAAAACAAAAATCTGTAGCTACACATGCTGCTACAGGTAAACATAGGTGCTAGTCTAGCCTGTTTACCAGTGTAAGTAATTTGTGACATGTTCTACACATCTGTTAATCCAGCTTTGTTCCCAGAATGCACTACAGTTGGTAAATAACAGCTCTTCACATGCTCAGCTAAAATTTTATCTAAATCTCATGTTTCTTTCTCTTGTTAAAAAACCCTTGGAAGCCATTAGTTTAAGAAAAAAAAATGTCCAAGTGGTAATAAATTCCAGTTTTTATATTTTACTTCTCAGTCATTGGTTAAAAATAATTCACAAAGAAATAAACTATTGGCACTCAAAAAATAACTATGTAATATTTCATTTCTCTAATAGGTACACTATTTCTGTCTCTTTCTTTCAGGCCACAGACATATGTGGATCATATGGATGGCTCTTACTCACTCTCTGCCTTGCCGTTTAGTCAGATGAGTGAACTTCTGACCAGAGCTGAGGAGAGGGTCTTAGTCAGACCACATGAGCCACCTCCACCCCCACCGATGCATGGAGCAGGAGATGCAAAACCAATACCCACCTGTATCAGGTGTGTGGGACAGCCTCATAAGGCTTTTTCTTAGGAACCAGTGGCCGCCTTCTTTACAGGATCAACGCTGAGCATGTGGGGCTCTCTGAACAAGTAGTTTCTATCACAAGAGTTCTAGTCTGCCATCGTTGTGTGCAAGCATCCAGGGAATGACCATAAATAACCATGTGAAACAAAACTTGATTCACAAAACAAGGAGCCTTTGACCTGTAAAATGTATTGCTTTCCTCTGATTAGATCAGGCTCCTTCCCCCATCCCATTCCCCACCCACTCCACAGGGAGGGTGATGCCTTCCAGGAGGGATCAATAAAATCTGTCAAGTCATTTGGAGTAAGAACTAGGACTTCCCTCCTGCTAATTGCTTCAAAGATTTGTGTTTTCATGTCATTACAGCTGTGTTAACTAGCATTACCTTATACAGTTTATTAAGAAAAATGAATGTTTGCAATGTGGTAAGGGTCTAAAATATGGAGGCCAAAGATGTTAGTTTACATTAAAAGAAATATTTTAGTAACTGCAAAGAGAGTAGGCAGTTTCTTGTAGCAATATTTCAGTATAGCTATTTTGAACTTTTACTTAGACATTTTCAACATAGGCATGTTAAAGTTTTCTAATAGAAAAATACAGCTCAGCTTTCCCATTATTAGTTTAAAATAGAACAAACCACAAAATCCTCATATCACTGACTTAATTTGGTATGCCAGTCATAGGAAGGAAAAGGGCTGTAAATTTCCTGTTGTGGTTTTTAATGAGCTGGCGTTGACTTCAGTGAAATGACATCCAGTGAGCCGCAACAGCCTCAGTATAAATGCATCATCACCGTATTGGCCAAGCGGTGCTGTAAGTGTGAGAACAGATACTGCAGTGTGGTGCGTGTAGCATCATCGTAGACTCCTGTCACAGTGCGGAACTGAACACTAAATAAAGCAGGCATAGAACTCTTGAGTGGATGTGAAAGTTGCACACAAAGTTGAGACTGTTCAGAAAGTTGGATTATTATAAACCAAAGCACTACCCATTAGTTTTCCTGTACACGTTTAGTTCTCGTTCTTTTGAAATAATGTTAAAGAATTTATAATTTCTATAGGAACATGTTAATGTGTCTATTGATGTAGCTGCTGGCAGACATTTATATATAGTTTCTGTAGTTATTATCTTTGTAGTCTCCTGTTTAGTAACTTTTGGCATCTCTTGATCATTTCAGCTCTGCTACAGGCTTGCTAGAAAACCGCCCCCAGTCGCCGGCTGCAGGCAGAGCCCCTGTGTTTGTGAGCCCCACTCCGCCGCCCCCTCCGCCACCTCTCCCGTCTGCCCTGTCCACTTCTTCATTGCGAGCTTCCATGACCTCAACTCCTCCCCCACCAGTACCTCCCCCACCTCCACCCCCAAGCACTGCTCTGCAGGCTCCAGCTGTGCCACCCCCTCCCGCCCCCCTTCAGATCGCCCCTGGCGTGCTTCACCCAGCTCCTCCTCCAATTGCTCCTCCTCTAGTGCAGCCTTCTCCACCAGTAGCTAGAGCTGCCCCCGTGTGCGAGACTGTGCCAGTCCATCCTCTCCCACAAGGGGAAGTGCAGGGGCTGCCCCCACCGCCACCTCCGCCTCCTCTACCGCCACCAGGCATTCGGCCCTCATCACCTGTCACAGTTGCAGCTCTTGCTCACCCTCCCTCTGGGCTACATCCAACTCCATCTACTGCCCCAGGTCCCCATGTCCCATTAATGCCCCCATCTCCTCCATCGCAAGTTATACCTGCTTCTGAGCCAAAGCGTCATCCATCCACCCTGCCTGTAATCAGTGACGCAAGGAGTGTACTGCTGGAAGCAATACGCAAAGGTAATTTTCTCCGAACCATGGAAAGCACCGTTACAGTGACATTGGAAATCTCCTAAATACTTAGGACAATACTGTGTCCCTCAATTCTAAACTTTTAGTTTTTATACAAACGGTATTTAAGAAACAGAGATATTAGAACTTGTATTTCAAATGGCTTTCAGGAAAAAAACATAATAACATTTAACTATTTTATTTTCATCTTTAGTAGGGTTTCTTAATGAGAAAAGGAACGCATTGTGGTTGGGTTGTAGTTCAGTTGTAGAGCTCTTGCCTAGTGTGCACAGAGCCCTGGGCTTGATCCCCAGTGCCATGTAAGACAGCATAGTGGCTGGAGAAATGAGGGGCATCACACGTTCTGGGTCATTCTTGGCTGTGGTTAGTCCTGTGCTATGGTTAGTCCATGGGCTACATGAGACTGACTGAAACAGAAAAGAAGAAGCTGTAAGGCATTGGACTTCTGTGATAGAGAACATTTAATAAAAGTTCTCACTCTGTATATGATCAGCCTCCTTAAGATGGTGTTTCCAGTGCGGAAGCTGTTTATTTGGGATGTAATGGCAATTGTTTTGCCAGGTGCTTCTAAAGGATTAAAGGTTCTTTACTTAGAGACAAGGAAGGTCATGTTAATTCACTTCTTAATTCAACATTTCCTAAGCAGGAGTCAAGAGGATAGCAAATGGTAGTGCTTTTCCTTCAAGTACAAGGGACAGTAAGACCGCAGAAGATATATTCAGGGTTCATTTGCCCCTAGAGGTGGTGGAAGTGTGTCATCCGGTCACAGATGAGCATGAGGTACAGCAGAGCATGGTGGGTAAATACAGGCCCCCCAGGAAAAGCTGGGGTTCAGGATCTGATTTACAGGATATTAGTGCCATAGTGTTTCTCGTGCGCCTTCAGTTTTAGTCCGTGAGGGTTGTATCTGGTTCTAATGATCAGTTTGGCTTTGTCGTATCAGGTATTCAGTTACGAAAAGTAGAAGAGCAGCGTGAGCAGGAAGCTAAGCATGAGCGGATTGAAAATGATGTGGCCACCATCCTGTCTCGGCGCATTGCTGTGGAGTACAGTGATTCGGAAGATGACTCTGAGTTCGATGAAGTCGACTGGCTGGAGTAGGGGTTTGCATCGCTGTGTATTGCAGGACGGAATGTCACACATGTCCTGTGTGGCGCTTGTTCTCTGAAAATGTTCGGTCATTCTAGTGGTTTGCTTCCTACTCCTCGCAATGAGTAACCCTTTTCCCCCATGAGTTTTGATTTTTCTGAGAAGTATTAGCATATATTTCAAACTAAATATTTTACAGTGGCTTATCTTATTTTTTCCCTCCCTGGAAAAATATAATTTGGCCCAATAAACCACTAAGTATTAAGCATGGACAGCTGTTGTCATAGAGTAGCAGATTCAGTTTTTGATAACCCTTAACTGTGCCCTTTGTGATTTTTTTTAATCTGAAGAAAGCAGCTGTGAATGGGGCCTTGAAGGCGCTGTGTCTGTTAGTGAGCCTTACCACACTTCTCGATGCTTTCAGAAGAAACACTGCCTCGGTTGTATGGATACACTCAGAGAGAGCGTTTACCTTGTAGTGTTGAATTCTCTTAAGGAATGGTTAATTTTTTAAAATCATTTCATTGTTTTAAATACTTGCCTTATTTGGACGTTTAGTAGAACCCCTTTCCCACTTATATATTGTGTAGTACAGTTTTGCTTGCCTATAGAAGTTTGAATTTTTTCCATGTGACAAACTCAGAATAAGCATATGTGTAACTTACATAATGTGAGAATAACAATCCGCTGCAATAAATGGTTCATTTTAAAGGGTCACAGTGTCGCTCTTTGACCGCGTCTGCTATGAGGTGGCTTCTAATTGCGTGCGGGAGAGAGTTCAGGGAGCTTCACTATGTAAATCCTCTGAGTTTCAGGTTTGTCGGGACAGGGTTTCTCTGTGGCTTTGGAGACTGTCCTGGAACTCACTCTGTAGACCAAGTTGGCCTCAAACTCACAGAAATCTACCTTCCTCTGCCTCCTGGGTGCTGGGATTAAAGGCGTGTACCACAATGCCCTGCTCCTTTGCATTTTTCCCCCCCTATGGGAACTTCTATGCTGTGCTTTTCTGAAGTTACACAATTATATTTCAGTTCCTTATGAGCTTAACATTCCTTCTTGCCGTGTGCCCCCGTGTGTTAATTCCTGAAGCATTACTGGGGGATTAGGTGGCTGATTCATACTCACTTGCTAACATGATAATATGGGAGGTGTTTAAGCAAAAAAACCAGTGACCTGTGAGTTTTGTAAAATAGAAAGGATGAACTAAGTTCAGCTATAGAAATTCAATTTGTGTATATAAAAAAATTCCTAATGGTTTAAATAAACAAAAGATTTGATTCAGTCTTTTAGATAGCTTAGTTTAGTAGAATAGTGAGAGGCTCTCAACCTTCCTAATGCTGTGACCCTTTAATACAGTTCCTCATGCTGTGGTGACCCCGGCTACTGTTATGAATCATAATGTAAATCGTAAATATCTGATATGTGACTCCTGTTAAGAGGGTGTTTGACCGCCCCGCTTCCCAAGGCGGGGTTTGTGACCCACAGATTGAAAATCACAGGTTTTTAACAAGAATTTAAGCCATTCAAAACTCCTTTCCAGCTTTAGGAAAATATAGTATGAAGTTTAACTTAAAATATGGCAGTTTAAAGTCTGTCTTCTTAAGTGTGATTTAATTAAAAAGTTACAAGTTGCATTTAAAAACAAATCTTTGTATGTGTTTGCACATGTGTATGGGGGAGGGCACGTGGTGTGGAGCCAGCAGACAGCTTGAGGTAGCAGCCCTCACCTTTCACCTCCTTTAGGAGATGGGCTGGTGTTACCTGTCCCTACCAGCACCAGGTTCGCTGGCCTGTGAGCTTCTAGAGTTTCTCCCATCTGAATGTAGGAGAGCACAAAGTCAGGTCCTTAGACTTGTGTGACTGGGCCTTTACCCATAGACGCATCTCCATCCCTTAGTGTGTGTTTTTTATAAAGATTAACTGTCGCCAGATAACCATGAGGTGTGCGGCTTGAAGTTAAGGGAGATTCATAAGAAAGTTGGTGAGTTTTTAGCAGTAAAGTAGATGTGCTTGTCAGTAAAGCCTAGAGGTGTATATCACCACAGTTTACAGAATCTCTTCTTTTTGTTTTGGAGAATATCTCTGGGAGATACCTTGACTGAAGAGTCGAAGAAACCTTTTGTTGTAGGATATTTAGCTTACTTTGCTGAGAGAGAAAGGGTTTTTTCTTTTTTAACACATTACCTAAGGTCAGCTCTTTTTCCATAAAAAGAATGAAGGCTCCTGGGTAAAGACCACCTTCTTATGACTGAACTGTGTTCTGCATGTTCAGCAGCGTCATACGCAAACATAGAATGAGTGTGTGTTGTAGGTGCCCGTTCTCCACCAATGTCACCAAATCCAGCGAACAGTTCTTAGTCACCTGCCTAAAACTGGCACTCCCTGTGGCATCTGTGGGCTCTGCTTCCCTTTCTTCCCAGTAAGGGTTAGTCACAAGGTACCGAGGGGCATTTGTCTGTAGCTATTCCTAAGGGAGGGATCCACTAGCTTCAAGCTTACAAGGCATGTGAAGCTGTCACGTGGTCCTCCAGAGCTTTTAATAATGCGAGCAGATGAGATGAATCCCAAAGACAAAACTGTTCATTTGCCTTGTGTTGCATGAGTCAGGAAGTGTCTCCTGTGAGCTTCTTTTTGGAGAGTCCTACCCTCCCTTGTATATCATCTTACACCATGTTTTCGTGAAGTCTCTCTGCCCTCACAACTCTATCCTTCCTTTAATCTCTGTGGTCCTTTCAGGCTTTCCTCGATAAACACTCATCCAACTTTGCATTGCAGGTATTTCCTGTGTGAGCTTGCCAGGTAGATTGCTCACAAGACAGCTGGGCCCTGAAAGGCAACTCCAAAATCATTACTAGAAACAATTTCAAATGCCCTCCTTTTTTGTTCTGTTATTTAGGACTCTTAAAATATTCCTTCCCATTAAAATTTCTTTCTCTGTTAATCTCAGTAACAGTTGATGGGAAAATAGTTTTGATATCATCAGAGAGTGAGTGTGTGTGTGTGTGTGTGTAGAAAGCAAAATTGATTGTGTTTCAATGGGAATTCTCATGAATCACTTTCAAAGTAGAACCAACTTTAACCTCAGTAAACAGGTACCGTTGCTTACTTTTTAATTTTCAGTCCACTTTTCTTTCTTTGAAGGTCTATTTTTATGAACATGGATGCTTTGCCTATAGTTCTGTATGTGTACTGTGTGTGTGTATGTTGCCCAGAGAGGCCAGAAGTCATCGGATCCCCTGTAACTAGAGTTACAGTTGCAAGCTGCTGTGTGGGTACTGGGAACTGAACCTGGATCTTCTGTGAGAGTTTCAGGTGCCATCTCTCCAACCGGCATTCCATTTTTCTCTTGATAGCAGCTGTTTTAAAAAACCTTCTCCCTAGAGTGCAGTAATTATAAGATAAAGTATTTCAAGCTTCTAAATAGTTAAAGAAATTCCTTTATGAGTCCATTATTTCTGCTAAATTCACTTGATAAGAACTGTATATATATATATATATACTAGTATTTAAAAAAAATAAAATACCCATTGTGCAAATCAGGATTGAAAGATAGTGTTTCTGTGTTAAAGTAATAAAATGTCAAATAAGGGCATTTCTTAGTTTGATATAAGTAATTATAATTAATTAAAGGCAACTTACTGAAACCAAGCAGCATGCGTAGGCCCTTGTAATACATATAATGCACCCCGTGTTCGCTGCTGTGTGAAGAACACATTTATTTATGTGCTGCATGACCAGACTGTAGAATGCAGCAGTAATGGCTGCCGCTTTTCAAGCCTGACAGCCGGGCTCTGAGTGAAGAATGAATACAGCCTTGAATGAGCATCTGAGACACTTTTTTTTTAAAGGCTAGTTATCAATACCCTTTTCTCATTATTGTAAGGCCAGCTGCTCTGGGTTTTTTTTTTTTTTTTTTTTTTTTTAACTTTGAGAGGAAACACACGCACACACACACACCACTGAGCATGTGTTGAAGTCTCTTTTTCAGAGCATGTATTCTCTTTTATGTAAACGTGTAATGATCTTGAATATGTGTGCATGTGTGTCCTTATGGGATGCAGTGTGTGTATTATACTCCGAAGACTTTCATGATAATTGTCTTGTTTATCCATCCTGCCTTTAGGCTAACTTTTCCAATACTAGTTCTTTGATACAGAGCACAGATATTTTCAAGACTAATAAAATTTTCCATCTACCTCTCTGACCTGAAACAACAAAAAAGACACAAGAGTTATTTAATCACAATATGTTTTCTGTTTTAACATCCTCAGTATTCCTTAGTGTATATTTTATTTGCATTCATGAAGGATGTGAAGTATACTTCTAACTTTAATAAAACTACATAGGAAATACTTAGACCACTCTAAAAGAAGCACATTTCCTGTGAGAGATGTTTTGTTGTTATTTTTATGCCTTCAGGGTTGATGGCTGGGCTCGGGGGCCATAGCAGTGAATAGACAGGGCCCTCCTTTCTGAGTATGCAGATAAGCTAACAAAGCATGGTGAACATTGTATTAATTAGGGAAGCTTACAGTACAGAGACTGTCTTAGTTACTTTTCAGTGGCTGTGACAAAACACCATCCCAAGACAACTTACAGAAGAGTTATTGGGGCTTCTGTCTGAGAGGGTGAGAACATGCCCATCATGGCAGCAGGAAGGCAAGGCATGGAGCCGGAGAGCAGTAGCTGAAGCTTGTTATCCTTATGTACAGAGAGAGAGCAAGATTGGGAACGCTGCGCATTTTCGAAACCTCAAAGCCCACCCCCTGTGACACACTTCCTCCAATAAGGCCACACCTCCTAATCCTTCCCAAACCGGTTTACCAAGGGAGGATTTGAGCATTCAAACACGAGCCTATGGGTGCCATTCCTGTTCAAACCACCCCATGCCACTCCTTGGCCACTTATCAGCCCGTAGCCATACAATGCAAAATCCACCTAGTCCAGCTTCCAAAGTCCCTATGGTCTCTCACAGTCTCAGTATAGTTTAAAATACCGAGACTCCGGAAGTC